CTGCTGTCGAAATGTCGAAATGTCGAAATTTTGCTTTCTGCGCATGCCCGAACTTCGGAAGCTCATATTTTGCATCTGGATCAGAAGGCCGCCAAGTGTACGACCTGTAAACCGGTTTGTGGTAAGTTTTAGCTCTTTATAGCACGACAGTGACCAGAAAACCACTCTACTAGCTTCAAAAGGCGTTTTTCGGCAAAATCTCCAGGAGCGAATGGGTTAAAACTATTTTGGCCGCGTTATTCAGCACTTTAGTCTTTCCCTTCATTCCTTGCCTTCAAAACTTTCATTTCCCCATGATCATTTTACCACCCAACATTCCGATTTTTCCAGTGTTTTAGCAGTTTCTACAACAGGTAAGCCAGTAAATCGAAGTAGACATGCTTATGCTCTAACGTAGCTGAATGTTTTTGCGTTACGGGGGTTTATCTCTCGTCACATTTACAAAAAACAAAGGAGGAAATAGAGCAATTAATTTTGGGCTATAAAATACAAAACAAGTGTGGCTGGAAAATATACTCGCGCAGGCACACCTTTGGCGCAGACGTACACACTGATCGAATATTCAAGTCAAAAAAAGGCACAACAAGTATGAAGAAAGTGAATTAGATTGAAAGACACAACTTTTTGTTTAAATAATTTGCTTGCCAAATCCAATCATACAGAAACACAGACTTATATTAAAATTATACATTTCAGCAAGTAAGCCAGACAGCTATTATTAGTCAGTCTGGCAAAAACCTATGTTTAGAAGGTCACAGGTTCGAATCCTGTCGGGGAGTCAGATATTTTCTCTGTCCCACCCTCGTGACATGCTGATCATTTCATTTTCACGTTTGTTTCACTGAGCTTAAAATTTAGACGATCTTTCATTCTTTCACCACACATTGCGTCATCGACATTGCTGATCCTAGCAGTATGCAGGATGCATGTCAAATATGAACCCAGTATATGGCTTCGCTCTGATCTCCATGAGTTCTCCATAGCTCAAGTGGATAGAGCGCTCACCCAGTGTTTGGGAGGTCAAAGGTTTGAATCCTGTTAGGGACACAGATTTTTTCTTTGTCCCAGTGACACTCATGACATGCTGATCATTGTTTCGCATATGTTTCACGGAGCTTAAAATTTACCATCTTTCATTCTTTCAAAAGTAATTTTCATCTACAATGGTCAATATATAAATTTCCATCAGTAAGTACACCTCAGGCATATTAATTGGTCCATCAGCTAGGCCACTTTTGAGGTTGCAGTGAAATCAGTTATTCCTTCAGACAGTCAAAAATTTCTCCTTCTCAAAAACCAGTCAATCAGTTTTACTCAGTAAGGGACGAATTTGCAGGGTAGCATGTACTGTAGCTTGCATATCTATACTAGTACGGCTGTACCAGTTTGATCCTAATGACTATTTTTAGCAGAACTTGGCTTTGATTAAATAACAAAACTGTAACACTGTAGTTGAACAAAGTAGATTAATGCTATCCCAGGAGAAAACTACAGGCAACAATGAAGATTTTTTGAATTAGTTGTCACTTCACCAACAATTGTACATCGCCTGGAATTTAGCAATCATAATTTTACTGTAAAATAAAGGTGTTGATAGTATAAAAGAATTTGAGTTTCCCCTGCTGTCATGACCATTATTCTCCTGCAGAAAAAGTTTTGTGCTGTATGTCTATAAATTTAGTTGAAACAGGAAGAAGGACAGAATAACCTTGTTTTGTTGCTCTTATTAAAGTGCCAAATCTAATCAGTCAAGTCTTTGTTAATCATCATCAATGACTATTGTTGAAAAGCTAGTTGCTGACTGAATTGCTGATTGCATTGTCAATAGTACAGTGTCCTGACTATTAAGGAAAACATTCAACATGGTAATCATAACCTTAAACCTTTTTATTTTGGGAACTTTTGATTAATAATCTCCATGTAATCCTGGGTTTTAAATAATTTGAATTGCCATTAGTCAAATCAAAAGTGGTACAAAATAATGTTGAGCAAGGTGTAATCATTATTTTGATCTATTGATTAGCATGGAAAATTCTTTTTGAATTTTGATTTGCTTGCAAAAAGTGAATTTTTTTGCCTTTATTGGAAACAGTAAGATAGATGAACTTCTAGTTCCAGCCGCTATGGTACACCTGATGGTGAAATAATTGTAAAAAGAAAGAACTACATGTACATGTAGGTACAGCTTTCTCTGGGTTAGCTTAATGATACTTTGAGCAAACGAAGGTTCCAGTTCAGTTTATCTGGTTCAATCAAGAGCTGGATTACAAAGTAAACCGTACAGCACTTACAGTACTGAAGATAACCGCTAACTAAATTTGGGCTGCTCTTCAAGTCAGCTTTTGATATACATTCTGGGGCATCTGATCTGGAAAGAAAAGTTGAAAATGGCACAGCTCATTAATCTACTGATTATTAATAAACAGAACAGACCAAATTCCATTAATGTAAAATTTATCTGCATTTGGATATTGTAGCATCTTGACCTAATTAAGGGAGAACACTCCTGTTCAGCTAAAAGAGCTTTAGCATCAACAACGGCGAATGCAGGGAAAACGTCACTTTTCATACTAATTCCAGACTTTTTGGTAAAACAAATAGTTTCTTTTTCCAGAGTCAAGGTTATCAAATACTAGGTAACTGACAGAGACCTTAAAAAGGCAGGAACAGTATGTCTTTTTTTAAGATGGGCTGCAAATGTAGGGGGGCGGATTGAATAAGATTTGACCAAAAACAAAACCAATAATATTTCACTTGTAAAGCACTGGTTGGAGCTTACCTTAAAAAAAAAAAATATATATATATATATATATAAATATAATAAAAACTCAAACTTAATTCCTTTTTTCCAGACTTTATCTCCATTTACCAGACTTTTTCCAGACCTGGAAAATTGCCCGGCAAACTAATTTTTCAAGACTCCTTCAAGAATTCAATTTGCATTTTTTTCAAACTTTGGCGCATTTATTTCTTTTCGATGAGAATGTCAAATGTAGGTGAATTTCCCTGGAGTTGATTTCTTGGGGAAAGTACTGCTGGTTGCTTTATGTTCATGTCATAGTCATGCAGATGTTCTCACTGCCATGGTCATTGTTGTTGCTAAGGTCCCTAATTAATTATTACTGGAAAATAAGTGTCCCCTTCCTTTCTCAAGGTATATATCAGGGAGGTTTGTCCTTCAAATATGACCAATAAAACTGTAACAGAAATGTGAAACTTTGAAAAAGTAAAATGTACTGCACTTACAGTACTGAAGATAATCTCTAACTAAATCCAGGCTGCTGATTAGTCTTGATCCATTCTGAAACATCTGATCTGAAAAGAAAAGTTGAAAATGTTACCGCTCATTAATTAACTTAATCATTAATTTACTAAACAACTATTTCCAAAACAGACCAAAATTCCAGTATACACGTACCATATTATGCTTTCATGAATAATTTATTAGCAGCCACATTTGAATACGCACCTTGGCCTGATTACTATAAAAATGATCTAACAGGTGCCTGATGAATTTATTTAATTTAAGGAGTGTATACACTGTCATAGATAGGAGGCATCAGAGTGCAAAGAAAGTGGTGTCCAATAGCCTGGGGCTAGTGGATTTTGCTATCGGGCTAGTGATTTCTGCTCTTAACTTGCCCAATGGGCAAGTAAAGTATTTTGAGGAATTCAACTTACAGAAGAACTGTAAAATCAATTCTGCTCATCAAAAAATTTTGGGAGCTATAGTTGAAATGACATTTGGGCCAGTAAATGCTAGCTTCAGCTTGCCCGAATGGCAAGCTGTAAAAATGACTTTCTTTGCACCCTGGGCATAAAGACCAGCTAAACAAAACCAATACAATTTTAATTTCTTGAAAATATCCTTGAGATACTTAAAAAAGAAGAATAACCAGCAGTGTGCATTATAACACTGGAAAATTAGTATGCCTTACTTTTTCAAGGCATATCCCGCTGGAATGACAACTGTTACACTACACATTAACCTGTAGATATTACGCCCTGATAGCCTGTGTAGCAGGCGTTTGGAAGCGGTGGGCGCAACAAAGAAACAGACGTGAGAGGGAGACATGGGAGGGGAGAGGGAGCACCTGCCTGAGAAGCCCACGAAAGTCATTTCAACTTGCTTTCTGAACATGCGGAAATTTCTTTTGGCTGGGAGGCTCCCAAGGGGATAAAAGTTTGCATTAGGCAAGAAAACTCAATCAAACAAAACACCAGCTCATTATTTTGTTTACATGTAGTACATGGATGGACAATGCAGTGAAGGTTTTTATACTTTTGATTTTAATTATAACACCACTAAAAGGTAGAACTGAAGTTCAGATCTTGGAGGTCACTTTCATACTCAGACTACATGGCTGTTGTCTAAAACAAAAGTTGGAGTATTCAAACAATATTCACAAAGAAACAATTTGACATCAAATACGTATTGGCAGAAGTGCAGTGACCGACGAAAGATTTGTCGAATCTTTGAAATGAAGATCACGGAAATATTCTCAAAAAGAACTTGACGGCTTGCATTCTCAATGGAACACATACCATCAAAACCTGGACAAGAATGATAAAATGAAACACTTACCAGAAGCATGAATTTGAAAAACCTTTCACTATTGTACGGTTATTAATGTGGTTAAATGTAATTTAAGCTAAGTTAAACGCGAAACAATGCTGGTCTGGGGTTTCCCTTGTCTCGGTCATGCGCAGTGGTGGGGGATCTGCAGGGGGTCGCGTGGTTTTACAGCTCGGGTTTTGAGGTCAACTCATTTGCACGTGCACTTTTGCCTTTTCGACGGTGCTTGGCGACTTTACTGTGTTTATTTCTTATTTGCCTTTTGACGATGGGTTCGCGGGGTACGACTAATAGCTTGCAAACCGCTCCGGTTTTGCTGCCTGTTCCATCTGGAGAAGAGGCTTCGGTTTCAAACGTGTCTTCGTCGGCTGGTCAAAACGTCTCGCCTCCCTCGTCGCAAGTTTCTCAAGCGTCTCTTCCACCGGCCGGGCCGGCGAGCGCGGGAGTCTCGCCAGAAATGGTTGCGTTGATCACACAGACCGTGCAAGCTGTTCTCGCAGCCGAGCGGGAATCTTCGAGAGCTGCCTCGACTACATCTCAGCCGGTTTTGTCCGCAGCGAGCGCCATTACTACAACACCGCCTTATTCGGGAGGCGTTCCCGCTGCTTTGCCGTCGCTCACCGATTCTGCATCAAGCCTGTTGGCCGCGGGGACAGGATTCGGCGGACATCCCGTACAAGGTAGGCCAAGCCAATCACTTGTTGTGCCATCCTTTGTGTCCACGTTTTCGCTTCCATCCATGTCATCTTTCGCTCCTAGCGCCTCGAACGTTTGCCCCTCGCAGAGCGGGGCGATTCGCGATGTCGCCGCCCGTTCTGTCGGTCCATCGGCGTCGTTGTTGGACCAGCCGTTCGTTGTTGGTCCCGGTTTCTCGCCCGTGCCGGCGAAGCTGGTCGCTCAAATCGTGGCGGGCAAGTACGTTGACCTGAGCGATTTACTGGCCGTGAACTTGCTGCAGAAGGAAACGGAGCCGCAAGTGCTGTTCGACGGGCGCCTTGTTCTCACGTCCCAAACGAAGCAACAGCGCCGGAAGATCGAGGACATCGCGTCCTGGATGGAAGCCTTTTCCATCTTTGCTATGATTTTGGTCACCCACTTCCCGCATCGATGGAAGGACTTATTGCAGTACCAGCTGCTCATCCTCCGCACATTCCGTCATTTCTCGGGCAAAGTGTGGCTCGCGTACGACCGAGCATTCCGTGAGCATGCCGCCGCCATTCGCTTGACGGATTGGTCGTCGATGAACGTGCAATTATTTAATTTCCATGCTGCTGGCTCGTCCGTCCGTGACTCCACACTGGCCCAATCTAATGAGTACCCTGAGCCACCAGGATCTTCGTCTTCTAATGTCGTTTGCATTTCGTGGAACAAGGGGCGCTGTACAGCACCCTTCGCGTCGTGTCGCTATGCTCACCGCTGCAATTTATGTTCTGGCTCCCATCGTGCGACGACGTGCCCCAATCGCTCCAGCCGGGACAGCCGTGAAGAACGCAAACGTCGCGGAAGTTCTCCAGGATCTTCCTCCGGTGCCAAAGCTCGCCGTACGTGAGGGATTCGTTAGTTGCCGGGTGTCGCAGCCATTCGTGCGCATAGTCTGCAGTTGTCCTGACGGTTTAGCCGTGCCGCCTCGTGTTGTTGCTTCGCTCATTCCCACGTGAACATTCATGCTTTTGTTGTTTATCGTTTTTGTTAGTGTGGCACTTCGCCTTAGTTGATTAGTTATCGTAATGTGGTCTCGTTTGGGGCTATTTTGTTATTTTTGACAGTTCGTGTGCGGCTATATTGTCCCTACGCCCCGTTTAGCAGGGTTCAGGGTATCAAGCCTTTTCGCTCACCTGCCTCGTTGCTAGGTTCTCTTGTTTGCATTTGTACCAGTCTCGGATGTTAGATAATAAAATGCTATGGTTGGGTTTTCATCATTTTGCAAGTGTTTCTTTTCTTTGCAATTTTATCATCAGGGGGTCCCATTTTCCATCCAGTGTCGGTGGTTTCTCCCCTGAATGTGGCACAATTCACGTTGGACCTAGCTGGGCACCCAGATCAGCAAGCAGTCGCCTTTGTTTTGCAAGGTCTCACACATGGGTTTCGCCTGGGATTCCAATCTACTCGTACACTCAAATCTGCCAAACGGAACAAACCCTCGGCATTCCAGAACCCGAAAGTTATTGACGATTATTTGGCCCACGAGGTTTCCAGATGCCGGGTGGCTGGCCCCTTTCCTCGATTCCCCTTCGGAATTTACAAATAAGCAGTTTCGGGGTAATCCCAAAAAAGGCCAACCTGGCAAATGGCGGCTTATTGTTGACTTGTCCTCCCGGGGGTACAGCGTAAATGACGGTATTAGCGCTGACGCATTCTCTATGCATTACATCAAACTCGACCAGATTATCCGCATGGTGGCCAAGCACGGTCGTGGGGCCATGATGGCAAAGTTCGATGTCGAGGCCGCTTATCGCAACGTTGCAGTGCATCCCGAGGATCGGTACCTGTTAGGGATGAAATGGCGGGGCCAATTCTTCGTTGACTTAGCTCTTCCCTTTGGGCTGCGCTCGGCTCCCTATATTTTTAACTCGATAGCAGACATGGTGGAATGGATCATTATTAATAGGTACAATGTGGCCGACCTTATGCACTATCTCGATGATTTCCTCACTGCAGGCCCGGCGTGTTCGAACCAATGCACTAATAATTTGCAAACATCCCTGGCAGTTTGTCGGTCGCTTGGCCTTCCCCTCCACCCTGGCAAGTGCGTTGGCCCGCTCACGTGTTTGACCGTGTTGGGAATTGAACTAGACTCAGTGCAGCAATCGGCTCGTCTTCCAGAAGACAAGTTAGCCGCCCTTCAGGAGCTGATTCAGTCGTGGCGGAACAGGCGGTGGTGTACCAGACGTCAACTCGAGTCGCTGATCGGCCACCTTCACCACGCCGCCAAAGTGGTGTGGCCTGGTCGTACCTTTCTACGCCGCATGATCGACCTCCTCTGTTGCTTTCGCTCGCGCGAGCATCCTATTCGTTTGAACGTGGAATTCCACAAGGATATCCAGTGGTGGTCTGATTTTCTCACGTCGTGGCATGGGGTGAGCTTTTGGCTTTTCCCGGGTCTGTCTGCTTCCACAGATGTGGAGGTCACGTCAGATGCTGCTGGCTCCTTGGGATTTGGCGCTTACTTCAAAAATGAGTGGTTCAGCGGAGCGTGGGCCCCCTCCCAGTACGATCAATCAATCGCGTACAAAGAACTATTCCCTGTGGTGGTTGCTTCTCACGTCTGGGGTCCGCAATGGCACCGATGCCATGTCTTGTTCCGTTCGGACAACGAGGCAGTGGTGCACATTCTCACGTCCAGGACTTCAAAGGTCCCATGCATTATGCATTTGCTGCGCCACTTACTTTCCGCTGCGGCTCGCCATAATTTTACCTTTACAGCTATACATCTGCCTGGCATTCATAACTCGATTGCTGATGCTCTTTCCCGTTTTCGTTGGCAGGAGTTCCGGCGTCTGGCGCCCGAGGCCCTACCACTCCCAGCTCCAATTCCTCATCAGCTATGGGATCTTTTGATATCTCCACCTTAGAGGCGCGGTGCCACACTCTACTGGTGCATGGGCTGGCATCCTCTACACGCAACTCGTACGCTTCAGGTCAGAAAAAGTTTTATGACTTTTGTACTCAGCTTGGTAAGATTCATCCATCCGGTTCCCCTTGCCCGGCTGACGAATGGACGCTATGCCTGTTCGCAACATTCTTGGCCAATACTGTGCAATACTCCACCATCAAGGTGTATCTCTCTGCCGTGCGCTCCTGCACGTCGACCAGGGCTTTTCGGATCCTCTTGTCAACTGTTTAAGGTTGCAGCGGGTGCTTCGAGGAATTAAGCGAACTCAGGGCGATTCTTCTTCTCAACGGCTTCCAATCACAGATGAGATCATGGCTGTTATCTTCAAAGCATTGGACGTCACGATGGCGGATCATTGCATGTTTTGGGCAGCCTGTTGCCTGGCGTACTTTGGCTTTCTTCGCTCTGCGGAATTCACCGTCCCCAATTTGGCCAGTTACTCTCCTTCCATCCATCTGGGTGTGGCCGATATCGCTGTGGACGCTAGTTCATTGCCCTCGTGCCTTCGCATTAGGATAAAGGCATCCAAAACTGACCCCTTCCGAAAGGGGTGTTTCGTGCACATAGGCCGTGGCTCGTTTCCGCTGTGCGCAGTCCAATCGCTGTTGGCGTATTTGACTTTAAGGGGCGACAGACCAGGCCCCTTATTTTTGTTTCAGGACGGTCGCCCGTTGTCTCGATCTCTGTTGACAGCTTGGTTACGTCGCATCTTGCCTTCGGCTAACATCCAAGGCAACTTCTCGAGCCACAGTTTTCGTATTGGGGCAGCTACTGTCGCAGCCCGTAATGGCATCCCAGATCATCAAATTCAGGCTTTGGGGCGGTGGACCAGCACCGCCTATTTGTCTTACATTCGTACTCCTGCGGAGACGTTATCGCAACTCTCTAAACAATTGACTGCCGGTGTTTCAGGTTGCTCATCATAGACCCCGTCAGATTTTACTTTCACTCAGTCTTCTGGGGACAAATTAGGGCACCGTTGTATCTTTACCTATGCTGGTTTGTGCTTAGCACAGTTGTCTCCGATGTTACTTGAATCCTCCGCGCTGTTTTCGTTATGCTGTGGCCAGTTAGCACTGGGGGGCAAGTAGGGGCTTTGCACTCGTAATGGGATTCTGGTCAGGGAGTTCAGCCCTGTCAGTGGGACGGAAGACAGCCTGTTGTTGCGGGTTGCAGGTTTGCGCGTCATCACTGGGTATGTATGCTCTTTTTTTTGTTGTTTTCTTGTCAGCGGCAGGCTTTGGGGTTGGTGCTTGGAGAGTTTTTGGGGGGTCTCGGTCCCTCTCCCACCCTGCTCGCGGGCCCGTCGCTCCCCAAGCACTCCGCTTGGGGCGCGAGGTCTGGTGGTTGCCGCTCACAGGGTTGTCATGGTTACCCTACGCGCTCGGCTCCGGTGCTCGAGGCCCCACCATCTTTCCAGGCACCTTCCCCAAGCTCATCTATTGTTGATGAGTTTAAATGTGGTTAAATGTAATTTAAGCTAAGTTAAACGCGAAACAATGCTGGTCTGGGGTTTCCCTTGTCTCGGTCATGCGCAGTGGTGGGGGATCTGCAGGGGGTCGCGTGGTTTTACAGCTCGGGTTTTGAGGTCAACTCATTTGCACGTGCACTTTTGCCTTTTCGACGGTGCTTGGCGACTTTACTCCCCGCCCTTCCCTCCCCCTTTTTCCGGTAAGTATGTGGTAAGTATCATGGTTCCACTGTCTTTTGTCAGTGTGACGGTGCCTGGTGGTTGCCGCTCACAGGGTTGTCATGGTTACCCTACGCGCTCGGCTCCGGTGCTCGAGGCCCCACCATCTTTCCAGGCACCTTCCCCAAGCTCATCTATTGTTGATGAGTTTAATTTGCTGGAAAATGACCTGGTGTGTAATGTTTATGTCTTATTTTTGCAGCCTATAAAAACGTCTCGGTACAGTTGTGTTCTGAGGTTTTTCATCAGATCCACTTACTAAGATATGTCTGCTCCAAAAATAGCTCCCACTTTGAGCAATAACAGCAATGGTCATTTTCCACATATGCTGTTGTGACTTTGTAATCTCAGAGAACATTATATTTCGCTTTTTATAATACACAGCATGCATTCTTTAAAAAATACCCATTTTTGATCCTGTTTTTTTCACTTTTTTTGTGCCTTTGGCTCAATATAATTTCAAGCGGTTTGTTTAGCATCAGTTTATTGTTCCATTGCTCAAATAACCTAGCTGATCTTTATGACAGATATATTTTAATTTAGACCGAAGATATAAATGTACAACCCTTTGTTTGTGCAAGTGTCAATCATTTCCAGTCAAAATTTCTGAAAGATCAAACAGTGACTTTCAGGTAATTGGACAGGAGGTGGGAAACCATTTTCATGGGCCTCTCTGGCACTGATGCTGCCTCTTTCCTCACGTGTCTCCCTCTCGTGCACCCATTCTTTCCTTCATCCAAATACTTGCAAGCGCCTGCTCAGCAGGCTAGCACCCTGCAGCAATGGCATGTTGTGGTGATCGCAGAAGGATGGTGTAAATGAGGGAAAGGCCAATGATTTTTCAGCGGCAAAAGAGGAGAAGCACATAAATTCATACTTGCATATCACGCCGATCAGGGAGGTATATCCTTCAAAGATGATCAATAAATAACTTACTGTGTCAGAAGTGTGATACTTTGAACAAAGTGAAAAGTACTGCACTTACTGTAAGTCTGAAGATAATCTCTAACTAAATCCAGGCTGCTGAAGTCTTGATCCATTCTGGGGCATCTGATCTGAAAAGAAAAATTGAAAATGTACTTCAGCTCATTAATTCACTGATCATTAATTATTTTGCTAAAATAATAACAATTTACAGAACAGACCAAATTCCAGTATACCATATACTTCCATGAATAATTTGTGATTTTTAAGCAGCGAAAAAGGGAACACACATTATTTTAATTAATGCTTGCATATAGGAGAA